CTGCTAACAACTATGCCAGGGGGCATTACACCATTGGCAAAGAGATCATTGACTTGGTCCTTGACAGGATTAGAAAACTGGTAAATAACTTAGAAATGGGGATAAGTGAACATTTAGGGTGATCTTGATAGAAGAAAAAAAACTTTGAGAGGTAGCATCTGATATTCTGGAAACTGACATCCTTTCAGGCTTATGTTAAAGAGCCAGTTATCCCAAGCTGAGGATATTTAAAAGGAAAGGGTAACTTGAGGCCAATTTTGCTAAGTGGCAGTTAAACATATATGTTATTATGCTGCATGTTATCTTTTGCTTCCCTTTTATCCCTTTAATCTGTTTCTGGCTTTTGCTTCCTCATGCCAATATCTCCTGTTGTTTCTATTGTGTCTGCTCTCCCATGTTCTATTTCTCTCTTCCTCTCCGCAACTGCTCTTATCCTTTAATATCCTCTCTTTACTTTTCTCCTTCTACTCTCTGTTGATTAGTTTTAAACTTGGCACCTGAAACCCAAAAACCTGGCTTTGAAAGCCTATTAAGTGAACTGAAGAAATTGGACTCACCATAGTTGAGATACAATACGTTGTCACTTTCTGGCCACTTTTTGGGATACTCTTGTAACAAGGGTCTGGTATACTTCATGTAAGGGTCATGTATATTTCAGGATCCCTCCAACATGCTGGAATCAATCTTTGGGGGTTGTTATAGTCCTGTGTTGGCTACTAAACAATCAGCAAAATGTCACTAAATTTAGCATTTGATAAAATTATGTTTTGGTATTTTATATATACTTTTAATCAATTTGTATAGCCACCCATTTCAGCAAGTGACTCTGGGTGGTGAACAACATTAAAATAAAATACAGACAATTACAACAACACTTAAAAAAATTAAAATATATGGCAGCTGAGGAAAGTATCACAATCATCAGTTAACATAAGCAGGAGACAGGTCCCTTCATACACTTGGGTCTTACAAAAGGCTGTGAAGTCAGGGCTACCTTGTTCTCCAGAGAGAGAGTGTTCTGTGGGGCAGGTGCTATGGCAGAAAAGGCTCACCTTCTGAGTCCTGCCGCCTGGCATTCCTTAGCCAAAGTGTGCCCATCCCGCTGGAGCAGATTGGATGGGTAGAAATCCTTGTTATCCTTTTGCTAGGCCCATAACTTTTTTTTTTTTGAAGCCTTATAAAAGTTGATCACACATGAAAAAAATTCAGAACATCCCTGTTTGATGCTGGCTTAGGCTTTGTTTTCATAGCTTTCCCTAGATTAATTATCTGGCCTCTTTACTAGTATGATTAGCTGTTTCTTGTATGCTTTAATATTGGGCTATTATTTATAGCACAATTTTTAATAACCATTTCACATGTGATTACTACCATTCCTACTCATTACTTAGAACATACAGGTACTGACATCTTGGGATTTGCTGGGGATCTGCACTGAGTATAAAGATTGAGGTATAAGCTGTCTTCCAGCTCTGCTTTGTTGCTGCTTACCCCCTGAGCAGAACCTTGATGAATTGGAATCATTAAAGTAGGAAGAATCACTCCATAAGGAATAATTACAGAAGCATTGTTTTTTGTAACCTAAACAACTTCTGAAGTATAGCTGTTTGCACTGAAAGCAGTAACATTAATTAATCTCCTGAATTGGGCTGTGTTAATAACCTTATACTTGGAAATAATAGTCTTCAAACTGGCATGTCTACGTTGATTTAATGTATTCAGAGATATACCAAAAAAAAAAATGTCTGAAATTACTGCATGAAATCTCTTTTGCTGTTTCCAACAGGCTGACCAATGCACAGGACTCCAGGGTTTTT